CAAAGTTTATTTAATTATATTTAAAGCCTTGATGTGAGTATAAAAGAGAAGACAATGCACGAGGGAGGTACCTGATGCTGGCCCACTACTGGCATTGTGAAGCTCCTGCACCTCGAAACGGTCAATCAGACGACGTGGAAAGGAGTTGACAGCCGCTGGTTTATCCCTGAATCTGAAGGGACGTGTGTATCAAGCTACAGTACGGGGTGTCTTGTTGTATGGCTGTGAGACTTGGCCTATTCGAGCAGCGGAACTGAGACGTCTTCAGGTGTTCGACAATCGTTGTCTCAGAACCATAGCTCATGTTGGTTGATGTCGGCGAATTTGTAAGGAGGCAGTTAGAAAGCGCGTTTTCGGTTGTGTAACGGGTACCTCCATTGAAGAATGTGTCCAGCACCAGAAGCTGCGTTGGTTGGGACATGTGTTACGTATGCCGAACCATCGTTTGCCGAAGAGAGTACTGTTTTCCATGCCCAATTCGGAGTGGCGTAAACAGAGAGGTGGCCAACCCTTGGCTTGGCAGAGGAGTATGAAGGAGATCACGAAACGCTTGGGTGCTGTCGGTGCTACTCGCCTTCCAGGATGGGGCCCACGTGATCCTCACTGTGCCTGGTTGGAGACACTATAAGATATGGCTGCCAACCGATGTCAGTGGCGTTATTGTTGGCACTTTCCATCCAGATTGCCTGAGTGAATGTGTGGATATGTAGGCACCTCGGATTGTGTTAAGCTAGCACTAAATCCCTCCCCCGTCCACTTTTATTCTTTTCTCCACAATAAGGCTTTCAAATAAGTCATGGTTGTACGGCAGTGAAGCGTCGGTGTTGAACACCGATGTCATGCTGTCGATGATGATGATGATGACAGCCGCTGACATCGATTAACCGCCGTTTCTTGCAACGTTCCTAGCCACATTGAGGTGGGAAATCATGGAAATCCCATTGTGGAAGGTGTACACCACCACCAACACCTAAACTCTCCAAAATTCTTCCCACACTGCCAAGCCACATGTTGTCCACCTTGTTTGCGTCATAATGAAGGATGTGCAGAGAATAGCACTCGTTTTGGTAGACGGTGTTTCGGTACGTATAGCGCATGACCGAGCCACCGAAGTTGATTGGATGTTTTCGGCGACTGAAGGACCCATGGCACAACAATGTATCCAATTTCTGATTACCTCGTTGCGTACTCCTTGGCGCTGTCCAATAACAGTAATCCTGCTGGGGCATTTGTGACCAAAGACACCCAAATCATCTCTCCGTAGAGGGCATGTCTCGCCACCACGTAACAGTGTAATCTTTTCTGTTACACACAACCATTGAGGCTCAGTGTGTAAATTTTCTCCACAACATCTAGTGCTTCTCTTCAACGTGTTGAGACAGTGCACGTTTTGGGGCATGACTTCACACTTTAGGTGGAAGGCGCATGCCGAAAGATGGCCAGATGCTGGCCATTTCATTCAGCAGGGCTTGTGCTTCGCCTTCTTCTCCAAAGATGAGAACGATGTCGTCTGCGTACTCCAGCGACGATTTGAACACAGGGGTTTTGAAAGCATTCCAGTGTTCGCCTCACTGTTTCCTCGACGACGAAGTTGTCGGACACGTCTTTTTGTAGCGGAGCTTTTAGAGAGCCAACCGTACACTCTCAGAGGCCCCGGATGTTTGTGAGTATAGAGACCGGATTATGTTCAGAACCTTCTGGGACATCCCCGTTTGAGCAAACGTAGCTGACAGCACTAACTGATCGAAAGTCAGGGAACATCAAGATTGTGGGTATTCCGTACATATGGCGTTCGTTACTCTAACACCTGGCGGACTGTGAAGATTTGGTCGACACAGCCTGTGCCCTGCTGAAATCCCGTTTGATGGTCACGGTTAAGGGCTTTGCGTGCTTCCATAGGCTTTGCTACATGGGAGTCAGACCGATGCTCCTGCAGTTGCTACATTTACCGCGAGTACCCTTTTTGAAGATGGACAGTACTATCGAAGCACTCCAGTTTTCTGCGATAGTCTCTTTCTGCCAGATGAACGCAAAAATGCTAGACAGGCATCTGCAGAGCAATTCACCGCCTTCTTTGAACGGAGCAGCTAGAAGTCTGTCGGGATCAGGAGAAGAATGACGTCTGACCATTTGACTATCTCGGCTGCAATCCGAGTTTGTCAAATTTTCGAAGCCCATAACAAAGCAAACACTGCAACTTTTACATTCTTATCTGCCTTAACCAAATAGAGAGGGCGAGATGGACCAAGTGGTTAGAGCGCGAATTTACTGACCGGAAGGTGCGTGGTTCGAACCCGACCTCTGCCTCTCGGCTTACCCTGTCTAGGCTTGGGCGACCTGAGAGTATCCCAGCCTTCGTACCTCCTTCGGTTGGCATGGCAGTTAGGCACCGAGAGGGTTCTACAGCTGAACGATTTTTTTAACCGAATAGATAAGTTTGGTTAGGCCAGAAGTTTTCGTCCGAAACATCGACAAAGCTACTGAAGCCTGGAGCTCGGTCATGTAACCTACCAACTCTTCTGAGAAACGATTGACCATTTTTGCTGCTTGAATGAACAAATAACTAGCTCCTATGGAATCTGTCAGTGAGTACCAATACCACACCCTTCTGCTTAGTAACTTACTCGCATTACATATATATATATATATATATATATATATAT